AGAAGGAGGAGAGAAAATGGAGGGCCTGTGGTCTAGAGTCACAGACCAGGGCTCACATGTGCAGCTGCCTCCTCCCAGATGGGCCACCCAGGGATCACTCTATTGCCAACTCCATGCTCTCTTGGGAACTGTAATAGTTCAAGAAAATAGGATGCTCTGAGCTTATAGACTGGAGAGGGTGGTGGGAAGGCAGGGAGGCAGGCTCTGGCCTGCCAGGAGGGCCCTGGCCATACCTCAACAAAAGCTGGCACAGAACAAACTATAAGGATGCCAATTAAGCCAATTCTATGATTTACAAAGTCATAGGGCTGCCATAATTGGCTAGGAGTAGTAGAGGGCCCAGGGGACAGGAGAACTAAATCAACAGGAGACAATACTACTGTTCCAGATGTTCCTCCCTGGGCCCAACTCAGATCTTTCTCTCCCCTAACAGGAAGCCAACACCCACGGGATCCCAGAGAACATAGATCCCCACCTCATCTGGCCTGTTGCACTGAGCAGACTGGAGCTGGGTGGGAAGCTCCAGCCTCAGGAGGCCAGTCTGGCAATCACAAAGAAAAATAAGGGGGAAGTCAGGGAACCATCTCTCAGGCTATCTCCCTCAAGCAAGACCAGCTATCTGTATCTTTCTTTCCCTTCCTGACTACCTCTATGCTACAAAATGGACACCCTCCCCTCCCCTCCCAAAAAACAGGTCTGCTCTTCCTACCCCCAAAGTCATAGGAATGGTAACATTACTCCTCCTACCCTTCCCTGCTGAGGACACTTTCTCCCCCTCTGGTCCTTCCTGGGCTTCAACAACAAGCTCAGTTCCCAGCCAAGCCAAAAGAACTAACGCTGCCAGTACCCCTGTCTGTGTCCATGCCATCCACGGACCCTTCACTGGCTGGCTGCTTTCTTCCCTTTCCCCACTTACTGGCTACTGCTCAAGAGTGGGTGGTGACCATCTCAGTCCCACCAAAGGTTCCCTGCAGAGTAGGCTCAAAAGACAGACAAGGTGAAGTAGAAAAGACCGAGGGCTAGGAATCAGGAGTTCTGGGTTCAATTCCTGATGTTGCTCCTAATAGACCGAAGAGATAAGGCTAATAATCACTTCTCTCAGGCCTCAGTTTATCAATCTGTATGATGACAGCCATCTCTAAGGTCACTTCCAGCTTTCTGACTTGAAATGTCTGTCAGTAACTGTCATTCAGTAAATAAATATTAACTGCGCATTTACTCTGCTGTAGGCCTGAGAAAAGGTAAGTCTGCTTTAGGTGCCAGACCTAAAGCTGATCAGTCTAATGAGCTGGTAATGACCACCCAGTCCTACACTGCGGAGGGAGTCAAAAGTGCTGAGCTGAGCCAGGGAAGGGAAGGATAGGTAGGTTCCTACTATGAACCTTATGTTCTACCTGCCTGGCACCTGATTTTCTTCTAGGACCATAGGCCATATAAATGGATGGTGAAGGCAGTGGAAACTGTCCTGAGCTGGGAGTCAAAAACCCTGGGTTCAAGTCCTGGTTCTGCTACTAATATGCTGTGTGTTCTTAAGCAAGTTATTCTCCTCTCTGGGCCTCAGTTTCCTTATCTGTATAATGGTTAAACTGATCAATCTTAAGATCCCTTCCAGCTCAAACAGTCTATGATTTTAAGATCAACTCATGCTAAGCACCTAATAGTCACCTGAGCAGGGTAGCCTCTGACCTCCTTTCTTCCCCATTCCTCTAGCCCCCAACAACTGCCAAAGCTAACCGTTTTGAGACAACCTTTGGCCTGGGATGGCTAAAATGGACCTTTAATTTGGAGCCAGAGTCCCTGTCATCTCCACTGCAGCCATCAGTGCTAATGTTTCACTTCTCTGGGATAGCACATGGACTCCTAGCTCTCAACCACGAGACTGGGTTCAGGGCGGTCACCCTGAAACTTCCCATAACTTCCCCTCTTATGGCTGTGGGCAGGGACTTACTTTTGGTTTTTCTGGAACCACAATATAAACAAAGCAGGGAACATCAAAGCTTTCAGACACCAGAGATTTTAGGTTGACCAACAGGGTTTAGAAAGTGAGGTAGGGAGAGAGAAAGGGACCTGGGATCCCACCTCAGCCCCAGACCTACAGACACCAGTGATGCAGAGGGTGTCGGCAAAGCACAGGGTTTGTGGTTGGAGGGTGGGGAAGACAGATGTCTGACAGCCTGGTTGGGGACTACAGCCAAAGGGAGGTGCTCCCACTGGGGCCTCTCTCCGTCCACAAATACCAGAGGTACACCCTCATTTTTCTCAATTTTCAGACTCTTAGAAGGAAAAGAAAGAAAACTAACATTTTCTGGGCCACTATTTGTGCCAGGTACTGTGCTAAGCACCTTCACATAGCTGATCTCATTTAATCCCCACAGTAATCTTGGGAGTAGGTGTTATTGTTGCCCTTTACAGAAAATAAACAAGCTCAGAGATTCAGGATTTTGCCCAAGGTCACACAGCCAAGAAGTGTGAGTTCTTCCTAAGTCTGGTCTTTTTCCACTATATCACACTGCTTTGTACCCCAAGATCTGGTTAACCTCCTGATAAACATGCAGTAGGAATTCATATCTCCCAGAATTCGCCAGCAAATCTAAGCTCTTCCTTCCAAGAACCCACAAATACAACTGGAAACTCCTTTCCAACGTCTCAAGACCCCATCCCTCCCAGAGCCCTGGTCCCTGGTGACTGCCCCTCAATTCAAAAATATACCTTAAATTCCCTTTGGGTTCTCACAAGCTAATCCTTAGGAGACTGTGACAAAGCGTCAAAACAGGATGAGAGAACAGGGGTGCTCTCTGAGTTCTAGACTGGAGTAGGCTTAGCATGGTGTGGGCAAATGGGGAGAGGTTGAAGGAAACAGAGCTAGTGGGTAAGAGAGAACTCTCCTTAGGGGAGGGACCTACATTTCTCCAAAGGAGGAGGCCTGGTGACTAGGAAGCTTTGAGTCTGGGGAAAATCCCGGAAGTGACCTTGATGGGGCTGCTTGTGTGGGGTGGAGTTCTTACACTTCCAGAAGATGTACGAGAGGCTGCAGGAGCCTTAGGTAGTCACAACTGGTCAGAGAAGGGGAGGAAGGACCCTTTGGAGTAGGGTCATGGCACTCAGCAGTGCTGTAGGCCCCCACAGGTGATTTAAGGGGCTATCTCTGTGGAAGGGGAGGCATATCACAAGGGAGGCTTGTCAGTTCTGTGCAGAACACTGGTCTCATGTGACAGGGCAGCTGGGATGGGAGGGGGTTCTAGAGTCCATCTCTCCTAAGATGACCACCAGCCTACACATACAGTCTCTCTGAGGACTAGGCTCTGTGGGTTCTATGGGGCAGAGTGCGGCTGCCCAGTTTACCCAACTTGGAAGGAAGGTGGTGCTCCATTGCCTCACATTTCTCTGCCTGACAGCTGGGTGCCTGGGTGCTCTGAGGGTAGGGGATTGGATCCTGCTGTCGCCCGGCCTGCAACCCTTCCCCCACCCTGTGTTTTAAGAGGAGGTGCACATTTCCATAGCATACACAGAAACAGCAGACAGTCTGTCCTGGAGGTGAGGCACTGTCACCTTGTGGGTACTGGAAGAGGTGATTGTCTGCCTACCTGTTGCCAGTGACAGGAAGAAATCTGCCTCTGAGGGGGAAGGGGAGCACACTGGGACCCTTCTATGAGGGGAAGGGACTGTCTGTACCATAGCTGACCAATGTGAGTCCATCCAGAGGTCTTTGTTTCTGTTCTGGAATGACATGGGGACAGGACAGTCTGTCCCTAAGATGTCCCCCTGGTGAGGGGGTAGTGAGGTGGTGAGACAAGGGCGTCTGTGGGTCTTGGGGGGGGGTAAGAATAGAAAATATCTGTTGGGGGAGGGACAGCCATCTGTGAGCCTGTCAGGGGGTGGAAAAGTCAATCAACCCTAAGGCCCGGTGGCAGCAGTAATGTTGGGACAAGTGTCTGTCCTGAATTTAGGAGGAGGGCAGTGTTGGACCTTCCTGGGCGGCGAGGGGGGAGGCAGAGGG